CACACAGGGCAAAACATAAGTCCCCGTTTTCGGACTCCGTCCGAACGGGGACTAATAAGCAGGCACACGCTTACATTACTGGAGACTTTACATATAAAATATGAGAAATAGCAAATTTGTGACCATATATTAGGTTGTAAATTTATAAGTAATTTAATAAATCTGATTATTGTTGACATTCACTCTATTACTGGCCATACACTACAAACTCATCCAGAAGCAATTTAATTTCTGTACTTTTAGATTTTATTCAAAATCAAATATACATTCATGAATAATTTTATTCACTAACCCAAGCAGAATACATTAAAAAATAACTTTTTAAAAACTTGCATTCCATGCTGTGGTGAGGTTAAAGATTACCTCCACTTCAATAACAAAATACGGAGTACGTTATAGATTGATCTCAGTTCATACATGTACTGTAAATACTCAGTTGTTGAACATTATCTAGCCTGTTTAAAGCCAATCTGATCCCTTACAGCTAAGTATAAGACTTTGGTTATTTTCAAAAAATATTGGGACAATACTACATAATGTACAAGATACAGTTCCATACATACTATGATTAAATTATTACACAATAATTTACAATTTTGCATACATAATGTGTGACTGATTTAAAATTCTAGTTTGCAGCAACTAATAGCTGGGTATTAAATGGCTATTGAGACATAAGTTTACATACAATTTGGGACTTTTAGTTTATTACACAATGTCACAGCACCAATAATCAGATAAAATTGTTATCTGGTATATCTTTCATAGTTATTAAAGATCAAGATAAACCCATAAAAACTGCCTAATTATTTAGCAGGCTTATATTGGCTTCTAAAATTGTTACCAATCACAGTATTGTATTGTTTTTTGTTCTTCAAAATCTCATTTGCCTCAGATTCAATTACTGAGAATGAAAACTGTTGAGCTAGCGAAATGTATTTGGAGAAAATGGAAAAATCAAAACAAATGATCATCTATTACCGTACCATACACAGAAAAACAGCTTACTTTTAGTCATGGATAAATACAAAAACAAATATTATTTCTTTGGTTTGTAAACTTCAATTTGTGTCTGCCATGTTTTGAGCACGAGTTGACCTACCAGTGTATCTTGATCTGTCAAGAATACCATTAACCAATCAGATTACCATGTGGTACGACATCTTGCAAATATTATAAAATTTATTATTATTAAGCCATGCCATGCTTTTATGATAAGTTGAATAACAATTTAAACTAATCAGATAAACATCACTTTTCCCAGACTCCCTATCAATATAACTTTTTCTTTACATCACAAATCTCGACAAAATAGATTATAATCCAAATTTTCAAACCTTGTATTGATAGTATCAAAGTGTGACTATTAATAATTCAAATTGTTTTAAAAACAAAATTTGTGTGTGTACCATTGATTGACATGCAAAGGAAAGCTTGCCCACTACAGTCACCTTAAGAAGGTGATACCTGCAAGCAATGATGAATTCTGATGCGATACATATTCTATGTTTTGTAAGTTTGAACAGTTGCAGTCTGTACAGGAATATCCCAAGAAATGATAACAGTCAGTCACTTTTAAAATGCAACGATTCTCCTTCATCCCTGTAAAAAGAAACATTTGTAAGAAACACATACCAAAGTGATATTAACTGTAAACATGCACAATTGTAAGTTGTAGCTGATATATGTTCATGAAGCTTGTTCATAATAGTGATGTCATGGTCCATTAATTGTAATAGTTACAGCAGATGTTGGTGAATTTAAAACAATATTTATGTCTATAGATTTTTTAGAAGCAGCAAGTTTTGAGTTTGGCAGTGTGCTCTTCATCTGCATGGGGGGTTGATTTTGTGACGTAAACATTCAATAAGCTCATCAGAACTGGAAACCAAAGAAATCAACCCCCCACCTCCCTTTCTCACATGAAAACAGATTGATGGCGCTATAAACTTTATTATACTTGTTAGGATATACTAACTCATCTTCTGTACTTTTGTCTTTGTTCTTTGCAACAATACTCCCACCTATAAAGTAGACAAAAAAAAATAGTTCAATCTTGGTGTTGCAAGTACTTCAGTGAAAATGGAGTCCAAGATAATCTATTATTACCTCCATGATCCCAAGCATCACACAATGGTACTTGAATAAAAGTATTTGGCCCTGACACTTGAGACACTATCGCAGTATAGTATACATGTATTTATTAAACCATGCACATTTTTTAATATGAGTACTATAGACTAATACATAGATTGTTAAATTAAATTTTTAAGTGTTCTCAACTATGGGACATTTGAATATCAAACAACAAACAGAATATTTTGATCAAAATAATGTTCCTTTCACACAAAAGCAATCTTCTGATGTCTGTATTCATTTACAAAGAATTTTTGATACAAAGTTAGATTTATGATACAAAGAGTAAATTGTCCACTTGTATTTCACTCCTGAGTTTCACAGTGCTTTCCTGTAAACAAAAAATATTAGCATGTGAACTCCCTATAAATCTCCACGGCCCACATCAAAGTTAAAAAATGTGATGTCAACCAAAAGTCAAGAACACTAATTTTAAGCGAATTCCTTACTATTGCCATTAATGTTCTACTATTGCTATTAATGTTTTTAGCTACACTTCTATGATGTACACTCCCTCTGTCATTAGTAAATGTAGTACATTGAGAATTTGGTCAAAATTTACTAATAAATACTGAGAGATGAATTATTAAAATTACTTTATGCTGGTAATGAGAATGTGTTTTTTTATTTTTCTCTGTTCTCTGAATCATTACATTTACATTACACTTAAAAAAATCAAGAGAGCACCCAGCATACACAGTTCTGACAACAATGTTAATTTTAATATTCTTTGTTACTGGATTATATTTGGAAAATTACATTCTTACAAATGCCTGTACAAAATATCATCAAATACAGTCACTGGATCCCAGAAGGAGAATTAATAACTCTTGATTAAAATTTATCGTACTAAAAAATATTACTCAAATTGAAACTCTGTATAACTATAGAGGGCGCCCTTATGGAACAACTTTTGATGTGAACAAAATGCACAGTGACATTGTAGATTTAGGCTATTATTCAATTACTGACAAACACATACCTGATTTTTCCAACTGTGAATATGAATTTGAGATGTTAGATCCATAGAGAGACCAGGCACCAAACGTCAAAGCAATATTTGCACACAGAATAGCAAGCAATATCAAACAGATTTTTAAATGGAACTCTTCGACAGCGAGAAATTCAGACACAACAATGAACCAGTCCTTTTCCGTGATAGGTTCGGAGGCGGTTACATCGATATCCGATCGTTCGGACATGGTTTATTCGTACTTCTATTCAAAACATTGTAAAGCTCATTGCGGTACACTGGCAACACTCATGGAAGTCGCCATCTTCGTGACCCCAATAACCTTGTACTTACTTGCATCTCCATAGATTAACACGGTTACAGTTTTATTCCGAACGATGGTTACTAGTTATCTAAACCCACGATCTTTTGAAAGCAGAATATCCAAATAATTCGACCTCAGAAAAAAAATAACAACGCATTATTAAAATATTAAATAATGTAAATAGTTTGTCTTTTATTTTTTCTCTCCTTTGTCTTTTATTTTTTCTCTCTTTTGCATAATCCTTGTCGATGTGAAATGCGTCACTTGGGCCCGAATACCGAATAAGGACAGTAATGTTGCTTACAAGAACGATGCTATGTCCTATTTCAACAATATCTAAATCATCACTACTGCAACTTCTGAACTTTTTATCACGACTACATGTAACATCAGTCGAGTAATATCTATTCTTTTGACAATATGTCTCTTATGTACTCAAAATTTATGTGAACTTCTGTGTCATTTTAGGTGAGCCAAATTTCGTGACAAGACTGTGATTTTAAAAGATCATCCCAATGATATTCCTCACAACCCTTTTCTACTTGTTTTATCTGTGTTGTTTCTAGGCTGTTTTGTCCCGAATCTGATTTCTGCTGTTCCAAGTATTTACACGAAACTTTACATCGACATTCAGTTTGTTACTAATATGGGAAAGTTTATCAGCATTAATACTAGGTATTGCATCATTGGCAAACAATATTTTCAATTAGGCTATTTGAAAGCATTTGTCGACTTTTTGTTTCCAATAAAAACCATATCCTTGCGATTTCCTTGACGTTTAAGGGTGTGAGGTAAAATGGCAAAGGGAATAATGCAGATAATGGCTGTATGATGAATTTGTTTTTGCGTATCTGTTAATCGACTTAATTAGCTGATTACGAGTGAGTGGCTGTGTTATGTCTGTCATCGTTTAGGCCTATGCGAGGTTCCGGACGGAACTTGGCTCAGTGATTTGGAACTAATTACTATAACCGTCGCTATTCGGACTACTATTTCTGACAATTACTAGTATAGTGAACGATTAATCAAAAGATATGACGTGTTCAATACTTAGTGTGATTGGCTTTATGATTGAAGGTTACGCCTTAGAGTCTGTTTACTGCTTTGTAATTGGTTAGGATTTTGAAAGTGAATAAAGTTGTTTTAGTTTGTCTTGGCAAGTACACGAGGACAGACGCAGTCCTGGAGAGTCTTGGGGCGAGTCTTGAGACGCAGTCTTGGGCCAGCCTTGCGACTTGGGGACTTTTCCCCCGGGCGCTGTGTCTTATAGAGTGCTCGATTGACCGACTAAGACGAGAGTTGAAACGTATTTCGTTGTGTGTGTCTTATTTGACTGTAAAGTATAAGTGACTTTCCCGATCCCGTACCTCAAGGGGACGCAATAGAGAGACGAGACGATATTCCCCCCTGGCATGTGTGGAGAACCCCATAGGAGAAGATTTCCCCCTGATAGCTGAGTGGTAATTTCCTGGGCAGTAATAATAGCACACTGTCTTGTGGCAAGATATAGTCTGACGATGAAAACCGTGTTTTCTTTTAGCAATCATGGTGGAGCTGGACATATATATTTTACCATTTTTCTCACAGCAAGGATGAATCTTAATAATGTCTGTCGATGTGTAGAAATATAATTACAATTACAAAATTAATGTTATTTAGTAGTGGTGTTTTCATTGAGGAAATGTGTGTCCGTAGTTGTATAACTATAAAAGAACTGGTAAAATGTCATTTCGGATATATAAATTGAGAGTTATTCTAAAAAAGGTGACTGACAGTGATAAAAAACTAATATATACTAATGACTAAGACTAGCTATCGATTTTGACAAGAAATGTTCTCAAAGCTATATGCTCCAAAAATGCACAAATTCTACCCCAAGAAGATGTCAAAACTCTGTTTGTTGAACGTTGTATTGTACTATATTAACACCTTTGTTTCCTTATACGTGTACCACATGCGAAAAAAAATGATGAGTCAATTCTAAATAAAAAATATATGAAATTTAAATATGTTTTATTCTGTGCAATTTAGCTAATTTGAATAATTCGATTTGGATTCATGGCGATGATTAAATAATTCGACTTGGATTCGTCGGTGGCGATGAGGCTTTTGAAAAAAAATACAAGAATATCTTAAAGCATAATGTAAAGTTGAAGGAGTACTACTAAGGACTGTGATTTACCAACTTTCACATGTGTACTATATAACTAAAGATTTATTAGACATTATCTTGTACACTCTTGAAATATTTTATCGGCTTTTTTAGTGTTACCTTATTAGTCTACGGGGTTCTGGAATTACGCACGCAAACAAAGTGTTCGTGACAGATCGTCCTATTTTGAAAGACAGTTTTGTGGCTTCAATTCTGTTCTTTTATACGGGAATTCGTTTAGTGTTTGTATATAGGTCATTGTAGGTGTAGACCATTGAACATGTTTCGTATATGTGTATATTCTCTGCGAATTAGCAGGGTTTTACAAGCCCAATTGGCAAGGACACGTTCGACTGCAGCTGTTTGTGCAGAACTTGAAAATGGTTTCGTTGAAAAGGAGGTGTTAAAATTTGACCCGCAGCTACCGGTGGAGAGGGCACCCACACCACCATCTTCATGGTATGTAATGATTTGTTGAAACTACTCGAAAGAATCGAAGCACATTATGACAAACGCATAACCGTCGAGGACGCCATCAATGACATTTTCTTTTTATTATTTCCATTTTTACGAGTGGGGGACAAATTTAGTTTTACAGTTTGACATATTGGCATATGACACTGATCTATAAGTATGTATTCATTCAACACTCAATTCAAAAGGTTGCAAGTACAAAACTGTCATGGCACTAATATAATATATAATATAATGTTTATTCAACCTTTGTATCGGCAGCATGAAAACAGTAATACATATCTTTAATTAAATTACATTCATCATTTCTTTTCTATATTGCCATAAATCAGTTACATATTTCCTAATTAAAGCTGATGAGGTATTTCCCACATTTTCATTTATGTTCCATAGTGTATCACCAAAAAGGAAATTGAACCTATAATTCAACCCCCTGAAAGAAAACTATTCATTAGTGATGAAGATTCAACATTGTTTCTCGGTGAGGTTTCTAATGCTAAATAAA